GTATATTGTTTGCAACAGTAAAAAACAAAAACTGTCTTAATACTCATGCACAAAAGAAGTGGTTTTAAAGTTATGGTATCTGTACAGTAGATTATATTACAAGTTATTAAAAAGAAAGATTTGTAGGGATCAGCACTGTGAAATAGTGGGTAAGGCCACTGCCTACAGAGCCGGCATCCCATATCAGCACCAGTTCAAGTTCCAGCTGCTCCACTTCTGATCTAATTCCCTGTAATGTACTTGGGAAGGCAACAGATAATCACTTAAATGCTTGGGCCCCTGCTACTTATGTAGAGAACTTGGAGGAAGCTCCTGGTGTCAGACCATTATAGCTATTTGGGGATTAAACCAATAAATGCAATAGCTCCTCCTACCCACTCTGCCTTTTGACTAAATAAAACAAACAAACAAAAAATGAGATTTGTGATGAAGGTTACCTGCCATGAACCAATACTCTGCAGCAGGAATGAACCACAAATGCAAGCCATGTATCCAACTGAGAATCTTTAAAAAGTATATTAAATAGAAGCAAGTAAGTTAGCTTTAATAAAATGTTTTGCCTACCCCAGTATTTAAAATATTATGACTTCCGTACATGATCAGTATGAACCAGTTCCGAGATGAATTTTTGTGGTAACTATGGCCATAGAATCTTTTGATTTACCAACAGAAAAGCGCTATCTTCACCTCTGGAAAAGCTCCCCCATTGTATTTGGGCATGCTTGGAATGTGCTTTTTTACTCTTGACCACAAGATAAGGACAGTATAAATAATTAAGATCTCAAGGTTACCCAATGGGCTTCTTTACTCATAGTTAGCAAATGCCTAAATACTGCTACATGAAAGACCCAGTTGATAGCCCCCCCTTGAGCCCTCTGGATCTAGGTGCCTCATGGAGATCCAGAGACGGTGCAGGGTCTGGATGCGCGGAGGAGGGTGATTGCGCATGGACTTACTCTTGGCTTTCTCCTTGTGGCTCCATACACTGTCGTGAGTAAGCCCAGAGAAACCCAGTGAATCCTGTCTGCACTGGAAACCAGACTCCTCTACAGCAACTATGGCACAAAGGGAAGTGGTGACCTGTGTACTAGCAATGCTAGATTAGCTCTGAGTGCCCAAGAGTGTGTGTTTTCTTAAGATCAACCACTGAAAAGTACAGAGATCTGACTGGAGAGTCAAGGGTATAAGCTAAAACGGAATCAAACAGGTCACAGGAATTGTGGCATAATAGGTTAAGCCACCACTTTTTTAAAGATTTATTTTTTTATTATTTTTATTGGAAAGGCGGATATACAGAGAAGAGAGACAGAGAGGAAGATCTTCCGTCTGATGATTCACTCCTCAAGTGAGCGCAACGGTCGATGCTATGCCGATCCGAAGCCAGGAGCCTCTTCCAGGTCTCCTGTGCGGGTGCAGGGTCCCAAAGCCCTGGGCTGTCCTCAACTGCTTTCCTGGGCCACAGGCAGGGAGCTGGATGGGAAGTGGGGCTGCCGGGATTAGAACCGGTGCCCATATGGGATCCTGGGCATGCAAGGCGAGGATCTTAACCACTGCTCCATCGCGCCGGGCCCAAGCCACCACTTTTTAGTATCCCATGTCAGACTGCAGATTCAAGTCACAGCTGAGTTGCTTCCAGTCCAACTTCCTGCTAATGGATGTGGGAAGCAGTAGATGATGGCCCACAAACTTTGGTTTCTGCTACCCTTGTGGGAGACCTGGATGGAGTTGACGGTTCCTGTCTTCTGGTTAGTCCAACCCAGGCTGTTGTCAGTATTTGGAAAGCAAACCAGGTTTGAAGATCTCTTTGTCTTCCTCTCTATATCATTCTACCTTTCAAATAATAAAATAATTTAAAAAGAAGTAGAGAAAGGACACAATGGGACAACTTAAAAATTCAGTGGAAAGCCTCAATAATAGAATGAGCAAGGCAGAAGAAAGAATCTCAGAATTGGAAGACATTTCTTGCCATAATGAGAAAACAATCAGCAAACTGCATGTGGGACTGAGTCAAGCTGAGAAAAGTATTCAAGGGACTCAATTAAAGGCTGAATATAAGAGTTATGGGAGTTCCAGAAGGCACAGAAAGAGAAGCTGGGTTTAAAAATGTATTCAATGAAATAATAAAGGAAAACTTCCCTAATTTGGAGAAAGAATTGGGAAACAAAATACAGGAGGGACACAGAACTCCTGAATAGGGTTGACCAAAAGCGATCTTCATCACAACACATGATAATCAATCTCTCTTCAGTTAAACACAGGGATAAGATTGTGAAAAAAAAAATCCGTTAACGTACAGCAGAACCCCAGTCAGACTCACTGCTGACCTCTCAGAGGTCTCTACAGGCCAGCAGAGAACTGATTGACATATTTCAGATTCTCAAAGGAAAAAAATTGTCAGCTCAGAATAACCTACCCAGCAAAGCTTTCCTTTGTCTTTGAAAATGAAATAAAATTCTTCCACAGTAAAGAAAAGTTCAAAGAATTCTTCTAGACCTGCCCTTCAAATGATACTTAAAGATGTTCTAGTAACAGAGAAAAGAAATAGCACCTACCAACACCTAAGGCCAATATGAAGAATGTCCCAATAAAACAGCCAAAGAAGACTAAATCAAACAATGAACAATCCATTGCTAAAATGATGGGACCAAATTACTACCTGTTGATATTAACCCTGAACGTAAATGGCTTAAACTAATTAATCAAATGTCATAGATTAGCAGACTGGATCAAAAACCAAAACCCATGTGTCTGTTGCCTGTAGGAGACAAATCTTACCGACAAAGGTATGTGAGGCCTGAAAGTGAAAGGATGGAAAAAGATATCCCAGGCTAGCGGGTAGAAAGAACGAGCCGAGTAGCCCTTCAGTCAGATGGTATAGAATTTTATGTGAAAAATATTAAAAGCGATGAAGAAGGACACCACATAATGATCAAAGGATCCATTCAACAAGAAGAGATCACCTTACTCGTTTTTTAGGGTGTCTTATTTTTCAGTCTAATTCTGTTTGGTTTTTCTTTCTTGTTCTTCTTTGCTAGTCTAGTTAAAAGTTTGTTTTGCTCATCTTTACTCTTTTTTTTTCTTTTTCTTTTTTCTTTTTTTAATTGTTATTAACATTGTATTATGTGATACAGTTTTATAGGCACTGGGGATTCCCCCCGCTCATCTTTACTCTTAATGGTTTATTTATTTTTATTGAAAAGTCAGATTTACAGAGAAGGAGAGACAGAGGGAAAAATCTTCCATCTGCTGATTCACTCCACAAGTGGCTGCAGCCGCTGGAGCTGAGTCATTCCGAAGCCAAGAACCAGAGCTTCCTACAGGTCTCCCACTCAGGAGGCCTTGAGCCATTCTCTGTTGCTTTCCCAGGCCACAGCAGGTTGCTAGATGAGAAGTGGGGCAGCCAGGATACCAATTGGCACCCATATGGAATCCCAGAGCATGTAAGGCAAGCACTTTAGTCACTAGGCTACCACACCAGGCCCTTTTGCTCATCTCCTTAAAAAAAAAATGGCTGTTTCTTGTTACAACTTTTTATTTTTTCCATTCCAATTATTTTTTTCTGTGCTTTTATCATTTCTTGCTTCCTGTTCATTTTTTTTTAATAAGTCCTTGAGATGCATTATTAGATCATTTATTTGAGATATTTCTATTTTTTGTAAGCACCTGATGTTATAAATGTCCCTCTCAATACTATTTTTGTTATATCTCATGGGTTTGGGGTATTTCTGTTTTTATTTTCATTTCTTCAAAAAAAGTTTCCTTACTAGTTTCCTCAGTGACACATAGATCATACACATTGCATCATTTTCTTCAAGGTTTTTTATTTTCTTTTTCATTTCTTCAGTGATACATTGGTTATTCAGTAGCATGTTATTTAACTTCATGTTGTAAATTTTCAATTTTTCTTCCTGTTGATTTTTTAAAGATTTATTTTACTTTTATTGGGAAGTGAGATACACAGAGAGGAGGAGAGACAAAGAGGACCATCTTCCATCCATTGATTCACTCCCCAAGTGGCTGCAGTGGCCGGAGCTGAGCCAGTCTGAAGCAAGGGGCTCAGAGTCTCTTACAGATCTCCCATGGGGTGCAGGGTTCCAAGGCTTTGGGCCATCCTTGACTGCTTTCCCAGGCCACAAGCAGGGAGTTGGATGGGAAGTGGGCTGTTGGGATTAGAACCAATGCCCATATGAGATCCCAGTGCATGCAAAGCGAGGACTTTAGCCACTAGGCTACTGCGCCAGGCCCTATTGATTTTGTTTTATGGCTTTTCATTTAAGGGGATGCACAGCAACTGTGTAATAAAGACTATTATATTCAGATGTGAAGATACAATGTAGTATGTATCTCTGCTTCCAAATCAAAGATAGACTGCCAATGATACTGTTGAATATATCTCTACGGTAGGATGCTGGACTCTCTACCATTGTCCTAGCTACAATGTCAGGATGCACTTAAATAGCAGAATGATGGGCCTATGATTGTTTATGAAGGACTGCAATATTGTAATGTAGGGGCAGCCAGCGGGGAGATGGGATTTGGGATGAGAAATCCCAGAGCCTATGAAACTGTATCATAAAAAATAAAATTAAAAAAAAAAAAGATATGCAGAGTACCAAAGAAAAGAGAAAAGGAATGAAGGAAGGGAGAAAGGAGGAAGGAAGGAAGGAAAAGAGACGGAGAGAGAAAGGAAACAAAAGAAAAGAGAGAGAAAGAGATTCCAGGCTGCAGCTTTAATTCCTTGTTGGCAGAAACTACCCTTTTTACCCTGCCCCCACAGCCTGTGGTGTGCATCTTTGCTACCATTGGGTACTCAATAAATATTTGTTTAGTTAATTAGTTAAGAGTAATTTCAAAAATTGCCTATCTAGTCAGTCTGAAATACAATTAGAATCCTGCTGTGTTTTCAGAATTGTTTATTCCACCTGCAGTGTCATTCTCTTACCAAATTCTGCCTTCAAGGAAATGGTCCTGGCTGAGCAGGGCTGGATCTGCCGTTGCAGGGGTCTGTGGCCTTCGGGGACGTGGCCGTGTTCTTCAGCCAGGATGAGTGGTTGCACCTGGACTCTGCCCAGCGACGTTTGTACCGGGAGGTGATGCTGGAGAACTACAGCAACCTGCTGTCCGTTGGTAATGGGTTCTGCCCTCATTATGTGAAGAATCTGCAATGCAGGTGCCTTAGAAGGGTCAAGAAAGGTCAACTGTAAAGCTAGAAGTGTGCATTTTTGTTGGTGTTTCCTTCATGCTATTCTTTCCTTTTTCCTCTGCCTTGCCTTACACACCACTCCAAATCAAAATTTTCTTCCTGGAGTAGATCCCAGTTAAGATTCTGTACTTGATCTTAGCCCAAAGGCCGAGAAGCAATCCCAGTGAAGATTCTGAAGAATATCAGAGAAGCAATAGCTGTGGGAACCAAAAAACAAAACAAAAAAAGAATCTGGAGGACATGACAGATTCCCACCTTAGAGGCACTGATGGCCAGAGCCCTGCTATTTCTCAGCACACCCTGTTTTTGCTCCACCTGCCAAATGTTCCATGCCTGCAGAGCACACTCTCCTTGCTCCCCAACCCAGGCTTGCCTTCTTTGTGTGCTTCAGAGTGAGTGGTATTGAGTTTTAGAATTGCGCTTCATGCCATTCCCTCAAGCTATATTTCTTTCCTTGTAATCAGGGATTCTGTTTTCAACGCCAAAGGTCATCTACCACTTGCAACGAGGAGAAGATCCAAGTGTGGAGGAAAAGGAGGTCCCTCCAGACGCCTGTCTGGGTAAGTATCTGGGAAAAGAGACCCTGGGTGGCCCTCACAGATGCTCAGGTCATGAGGAGGCAGTGCTCTGGAAACTGTCCACAATCCCCCAAGGAGATGTTTAGGACTAGTTAAAAGTATATTTCAGTTGTGTGGTTTATTCAAACATACTGTTATCTGATTGAACCAATCTAGTTTTGATCTATTTACAGCCATGAATTGATGTAAGAAAGCCAGGTTTCAGCCTTAGAATAAGCTCAAACTAAATCTTGTTGCCCACAACAAAGATGAGTTTGAGGTTTGGGCGTAATTTGAAACTGAAGGCATATTGATATTAGCTTTCCTGCTGATCTTCAGTATTTCCCAGCATTCCTAGAAAGTGCTACCTTCTTCTTGTACATTATTAAAAGTAATGACTGTGTCTCATTATCCAAGAGAAAAAAGGACAATGTAATGGAAGGGTCATATGAAAAAAGTCATCAACTCCAGTGAGAGCTAGATTGTGACACATGGCTGGTTGGCAGCATTTTCTTCTTTATAATTAGCACCCTAAACTCTGATCAGATGTTATCAACAGCTATTTTTTACAGTCATATTATTTTAAAAACATCTCTCATCTTAGCAGAGTCTTTCTCCTTTCAATCTGATACGAAGTCATAAAATTTAAGAAAACAAATCCAGATATCTTAAAATTATTGTGTGTATGACTTCGGAGAGGGCATGGGAAAAGATATGGCGGAAGTGACAGGTGAATGGAAAGGAGGAAGTAGAGACAAGTTTGCTGCTTAGTTACCTCGTGTATGGAGTGGAGAATGATGAGAAACTGCAATAGTTACCGTTAGCTTTTCACCTGACATCATTCCCCTCTTTCTGATGTGACTGACATCATTTCTCCCCGAGTTGAGTGTCTTCATTTTCACTGTTAACCTGTGGTGTGTTCTCCACACTGCTGCTTCCTGTCTCCCTGTCGTTCCATGGCCATCCTGGTGCGCTGCACACCAGCTCTGTGTTTGTGATCTGATGACAACTGTCTCTTGTGCATAGAGAGTTGCCAATTCCATTGTCCTGCCGAGGCATCGCATTCCTTTTCCAGCAGAGGCAACAGTAATTCTTCTGATTCATTCCAGATTTCAAGACTTGTCCTAAAACAGAAGCATTGCATCCCAAAAAGAGTACTTTTGTAAAAGAACCCTCTCAGGGAGTGTTAAAGAAAAAGCCCATTGATTATGACCACTGGGATGCCAACTTTGGAGAAGCTGTTAAAATTGAGAGTGAGAGAGAACAGGGGCAACAGAAGAAGTCACTGGGACAAATGGAGGCCTCACCAGAGAAAAGCCCTCAAGGGGATGAAGGTCATGCAAGTCTTTCATTGGGGGAAGACTTACTTGTCAACACAGTTCTGGATTCACAACAGCATCCTGCTACAGAAAGGGCACCGCAAATGCATTTCACCTTAGGGAAAGATTTTAAACAGAATGTCGATCTCATGAGATGCTTCCCGGTTTACCCAGGATCAAAACCTTATATGTGTAATGAGTGTGGAAAGAGTTTCACCCAGAATCTTCATCTGATTGAGCACCAGCGCATCCATACCGGTGAGAAGCCCTACAAGTGCACTGAGTGTGAGAAAGCTTTCAGCCACAGGTCCTCCCTGCTTGCCCATCAGAGGGTTCATACTGGGGAGAAGCCCTATAAGTGCGGCGAGTGCCAAAAAGCCTTTGGTAGCAGCTCAACCCTTATCAAACACCTGAGAGTACACACTGGGGAGAAACCCTATCGGTGTAGAGAGTGTGGCAAAGCCTTCAGCCAGTGTTCAACCCTCACTGTGCACCAGAGAATCCATACCGGAGAGAAACTCTATAAATGTGGTGAGTGTGAGAAGGCCTTCAATTGTAGAGCAAAACTACATCGACACCAGAGAATCCATACAGGTGAGAAACCCTACAAGTGCAGTGAGTGTGGGAAAGGTTACAGTCAGTTTACTTCCCTAGCCGAGCATCAGAGACTGCATAGCGGGGAGCAGCTGTGTAAATGCTTGGAATGTGGGAGAACCTTCACACGGATCTCAACCCTCATCGAACATCAGCGGATCCATACCGGACAGAAACCCTACCAGTGTAATGAATGTGGAAAAGCCTTCAACCAGTACTCCTCCTTTAATGAACACCGGAAAATTCATACTGGGGAAAAACTTTATACGTGTCAAGAATGTGGGAAAGCCTTTGGCTGCAAATCCAACCTTTATAGGCACCAGAGAATCCACACTGGGGAGAAGCCCTATCAGTGCAATCAATGTGGGAAGGCCTTCAGCCAGTATTCTTTCCTTACTGAACATGAGAGAATCCACACTGGAGAGAAGCTCTACAAGTGTATGGAGTGTGGGAAGGCCTACAGTTACAGGTCGAACCTTTGCAGACACAAGAAAGTGCACACTAAGGAGAAGCTCTATAAGTGGAAGGAGTACGGGGAGCCCTTCCTCTACGCTAGCTCCTCCCTTACTCAGAGATTTCTCAAAGAAGAAAGTTCCTCAGAGGCCTAGCTCATCTCTGAGCCTTGGAGATTTCCTCACCGGAGGATGGCTAGGAGAATCCTGAGCAGGGCGCATAGCCTTAGTAGGTCAAGTCCTTTGTATTTGTCCTGCAGGAAATATCCCAGTTCCCACTATGTAATGGTAAAATTGATCAATGAAAACGAAAAGCACTTGCCAGGTTTTCAGAAAACCATTACATTTTAAAGCTTCTAGAAACAATTTTAGATGCATAGGGAAAGTAAAAGGCCTCACTTGAAAACCATGAAAACTGATTTAAAATAGTCCCTTTCTTTTCCTTTTTACTGCATGATAACCCCTTTCTGAGAGTAAGCTTCAGTAAGTGAATTTTTTTTTTTTTCTAAAGTCAGTCATGGAGCTGATAATGTGAGTGAGAAACCCTGTTTTCTAAAATGACAAGCTAACAAAAGCCACTCTCCTTTTCATAGAAGCTAAGAACGAGAAAGAATTCCTTAACTCCTACAAATATTGATGAGCTGCCCCATCCACAAGTTCCATGTGTGTATATAGTCGTGCATCACTTACCAGGGGCTCGTGGCCTGAGAAATGAAGCGTTAAGCAATTTCATCACTGTGTGAATGTCACAGAGCTCCTCAGTCACTCAAGGGGGACTCTGGCTACAGTCAGGGACACTGGCCATGAACTGAATGAGGTGGCAGCCGGCATAAATGGCATATGCACTGCTAAACAACCGCTGTCTGTCTATAGGTAGGAGTACACTCCAAAGTAACTGTGGATCGTAAAGCTGTAAACTAGTAAGAGTTATTTGTTGTCATTAGCAATTTTGTTCTGTACTACAAATATGTGTGCTCTGCTCTCAAGCGGTTGGCAGCAGCACCATTCACTCCAGCATTGTCACAGACGTGTAATGAGGCGTGCTGAGGCATTGTGACGGCCGTGACATCATCAGGTACTTGGAACATTTTAGCTCCAGTATAATTTTCTGGAATTACTGCCCCGTATACATAACCCATCAAAAATTGAAGCAATCTTATACATAAAACGGGCATATCTGTACATGTATACAGAGCTTTGGAAAATATCTTTTTCAAAAATAATGGCTTTACAAATGCAGTTTTTAAAGCTTAGAATTTAGTTTTTATAAGCACTTAAGAATACCAGATGTTACAGTCTTTTAAGACATTAAAAAAAAAAAAAAGGGAGATTTCCACAGGGAAGTCCTCTTGGTTATTTCCCTACATTATTTGTCAATCTGATGTGGCTTTAATGTATCAAAATAGTGGCTTACTATAAGACTGTAGGCGGTGTTGTACACAAGCAATGGAAGGATTCACATGCCAGTATGTGCTGCAGAAGACAGACATTTTTTTTTAAAAAGATCTGTTTATTTTTATTGGAAAGTCAGATACACAGAGAGGAGAAGAGCCAGATAAGAAGATCGTCTGTCCATTGAGTCACTCCCCAAGTGGCTGCAACAGCTAGTTCTGAGCCAATCCGAAGCCAGGGGCCAGGAGCTTCTTCTACGCCTCCCACATGGGTGCAGGGTCTTAAAGCTTCGGGCCATCATCGACTGCTTTCCCAGGCCACAAACCGGGAGGCTGAATGGGAAGCACGGCCACCGGGCTCAGAACTGGCACTCACATGGGATCCTGGCGCATGTAAGGCAAGGACTTTAGCCTTTAAGCTACGGCGCCTGGCCCCAGAAGATAAACTTTTGACAGATTCTCAGAGTGTATGCCTGGTACGTACATGATTATAGATAGGAGAGATTTTAGTTCAGTTATAGCTTTTGTTTCACTATTGAAGAATTCAAGTTTAGCAGAATCAAGACCAGAATCTAGGTCCTCAGATCTAGGATTCTGCTGGTCACATGCTCATTTTCAACCTGAGGCACCAACAATACTAAGTTTTACAATCCAGCTAGACAAAAGTGCAGCAATTTAATAAGCTATCTTTATATAGGAGTATTTCCCCTCCCCTTAATATCAATACTTGACATTTAGTCATATTGCTTTTTTTTATTAGTCCCCATTGGCACTTGCTTTTATAATAATATGCTTAAATCTTGGAACTCACCTGATGTCCCAAGAATGCAATCACCATTGAGGTTTTTACATGCAGTGCTATCCTCTTATTACGTATATTTTGCCTCTTTTTTTGTGTGTAATATTATGTATGCATGTTTTGTTATTAACTATATATTCACCACTTAAACATTTCATTTCTCCTGACTGTTTTCTCCAACTTTGGTTTTCACAATTGGTACAATTTAAACATTGTCCTAACACAAGTACTTTGTCCCTTCTGTCTGAGAAAGGTTTTAAGATTAGGACAAGTTCAGTACTCAGATAGTATATTCCTTAGTTGAGTTATTTTAGTCATCAGAAAATATCATTTTAGGTAGTTAAGTATATTTTATAAGAAAAATGAGGTTCTAAATAGAACCTCACACTGTACCTAGTAGCAGTGAGCAGGTTTGGTAGCAATATTTTGGTTTCTAAATGCCTTACTAACAGGAGCCAGGATTCCTTGGAGAAATGGCTGATTCCGTGTTTGGAATGGGAGAAGTCTAAAGTGTGCCTGAAATATCTTTATGAAGGAGAAATCATTCAGGATTGCTTTTGAGGACTAGGAGGGTAATATCTGAAGCACCTAAGCCATCTTACAGCCTCTCGCATTGGCCACGTTTAGGCAATTGATATCCAGAAGGATCACTGTAACACTCTACAAGGAGGCATAGAATGGTTAAAGAAAAAAGAAAACATTTCCTAAAGTTATTAAGAACACCATCTTCCAAATGTACCATTTTATACCCCTTAATTAAGACTGGCAAAAATCAATGAAGGATAAAATCCATAGGTTAAAAAAAAAAGTTTCAAGGAACATTATTTTCATGGCATCAAAATATCACAGATGCCATTTACTCAAAATATTTGGGGGTGGGGTGGGGTGGGAAGGTGAGGCCTGGTTGTCAACCTAAGTTTTTCTCATGGGCCCAGTTGGTATTTTTTTTTTTTAAGATTTATTTATTTTTAATGGAAAGTCGGGCATACAGAGAGGAAGATCTTTTGTCAGCTGATTCACTCTCCAAGTGGCTGCAATGACTGGAGCTGCACCGATCCAAACTAGGAACCCAGAGTTTCTTCTGGGTCTCCCATGTGGGTGCAGGATCCCAAGGCTTTGGGCCGTCTTTGACTGCTTTCCCAGGCCACAGGCAGGGAGCTGGATGGGAAGCACAGCTGCTGGGATTAGAACTGGCACACTTATGGGATTCTGGTGCATGTAAGGCAAGGAGCCACTAGGCTACCCCACCTGGCCCATGGGCCCAGTTGGTATTAATTGATTCCTGACAAGATACAGAATGAAGAACCAAAATGTGTAACTAAACTTCAGCTAAATGTCTTATCTAGACTCTTCTTCCTCTTTACAAGAAATGTGAAGAATAGAGGAGCAAGTTTAATTATACAGTGAGAAGATAGATGGATCCAGAGTTTGGGACATTGTGCATGACAACTGCTCTGGACTTTCAAAAAGCCAGTATAAGAAAAAGCAGACTCTTGTGGAGTAAGACATGCAAGGAGTAGCCAAAATGGAAAGTGTCATCCTTCATTGGCTTCTGATTTAATCAAGCAAAGTGGCTGTCAAAGACATTTGGGGGATATATGTAGTAATGTGAAGATGGAATGCATATTAGATAGTGTGATATGTTTAATTTTCTTAGATGTGATATGATATTGGTGTGTAAGATAATGTCCTTAGGAGAGGCATGTAGGATTTTGAAGTTAAAAAATTCTTGATGTTTTTAGTGTATTTCAAATAAATATGTAAACTCAGCCAACTGCTGTTGGATCTTTTTGGTGGGTATTGAGATACTCCTTGATCATCCTTAATGCTTGTCTGCATGTTTAAATTTATAATAAAAATGGAGGCCAAAAAAAAGTTATTGGATAAAGTGATGAACATGAAGCTTCCATTCAGAATGTTCACATATTCTTGGAAAATTTCTGAGTAGGAGTACATCTTCCAGGAATGCAATCATTAGAAATAAAATAACTTGACGTTGATACCAGTTCCACTTCTAAATGGGATAAACACACTCCATTTTCTCTCACTATGTATGTTTGTGGATCTGTCTTGCAACCCTGAGAAGTGATAGTAGCAGGCAGATTTGGAAAGGAAACCAGAATCTTATTAAGTAATACCATTTTGGCATTCCGGGGGTAAGAATGATGATTGCGTGAGCATCTAAAACTAGTAAGGAACTGTGGGCCACGCAGATTTGGGAAGATCCCTACTGCTTCTTTCTCGTAGTGTCTTTCTCCCTTTTGCACTGGAGTTGGACGTATTCATGAGTTGTAAAGCCTTGCATTTCAATGAAAACTGGAAGAGGAAATGGCTTCTGGGAACTGGAAGATGTTAGGGCAATGACAGAAGGGGAAGTCCAAGAAAGTGATCTCATGGAGTAGCAGTGGAGTCTAGGTTTCCCGCTGATCTATGCACTTGGAGATCTGACACTGACAGGACGGTCCATTGCTTAGGTCTAATACTGGCCATATGGGATAGAGCCAAACAGTGGAGTACATACACAGAAGGCTGAACTGATCGTGGAGCCGCAGCCCATGGAAGCTGAAATGGAACTGGTGACCACAACTGAAAAACTGAAGATAAGTGGCCTATTAAGAAAACATTTCCTGTAAAAACTAAATATTCAGAGCTTCACTGGAAATGTCTTAACATACAATGCAGAATTATGAAAAAAATCAGGAAAGTTTCAACAGTTGGTAAGCAAAGAGACGGTGGATACTAACTTTAAAATAATAGAGACTGGAATTATGAAACAAGATTTTTATTAAAAATTTATTTTTATTGGAAAGTCAGATACACAGAGAGAAAAGCCAGATAGGAAGATCGTCTGTCTGATGATTCACTCCCCAGGTGGCTGCAATGGCCGGAGCTGAGCTAATCTGAAGCCAGGATCCAGGAGCTTCTTGAGGCTCTCTTGGATGCAGAGTCCCAAGGCTTTGGGCTATCCTTGACTGCTTTCCCAGGCTACAAGCAGGGAGCTGGATGGGAAGTGCGGCTGCCAGGATTAGAACTGGTGTGCATATGTGATCCTGGTGTGTGCAAGGCAAGGACTTCAGCTGATACACTACCAGGCCAGGTCCATGAAACAAGATTTTAAGATT